CCCTAAACCCCTAAACCCTAAATTGGAAGCTTCGACCTTCAGGTGCTTTGGCGCTTGCAGCGGAGGGCGCCGATGCGAGGAGACATCGCGCACTGCAGAAATCCACGAGTGGCTGCTGACATGTCGCGGTTTATACCGAAGCTTGTGGGGCTTAGGGTTTGCTAAACCTCGCAAGGAATAGCACCCAAACCGTGGCAGCAGAACTGCGAACTGGTTGAGGCCAGCGGCAGTTGATGTCTCGCTGGATGTAGGCCAGAAAGGTCTCTGGTGTGCCTCAGGGACAGCCACGATTGAGTAGACTCGGAATAAGTGTCAAGACAGCTCCCCTACTTGCAATGTGAAAGGAAATGTTTGCTGGTCGAAGGTGTCAGATTCTGCTGTTTAGGGGATGGAACCTTCAAAGCACTGAGTGTCACCTTGACGTTCGCCTTGGAAAGAAAGCTGCTCACGAAGATAACTAGAATTGGGTTCTGGGGTGTGTTCTGCCATATTTCTGACTCTAACCATAGACGGACTTTGAAATGATATTCGCAAAAGCCAGGTTTACGACACATGTATTACAGCATTGCAAAAAGCGCCCCTTTGGAGCCTGTCGGGAGCTCCTCCCGAGTATCCAATATGGTTGTGGGCGGCGCAGCGACGGCGAGGTCCTTCTGGGCTCGATACAACCCTCAAAACCATGCTCATAATGCTAAAAATAACAACAATAACAAAAAAAACAACAATCCTCATAATAGGAGAAAGACTAGGAAGAGTAACAATTATCCTAGAACTCATCATAATCCTAGTTTTAATACTCCAGCTAAGGCCTTTTCGTGAACATCTCCTTCCTCAGGGATTTTCAGGGCAGCTTAGGGCTTAGGGCTTCTGGGGCTTGGGCTTTGGGTTTCTGGTTTTTAGGGTTTAAGGTTGGCTTCACCTTCTCTTCTTGGCACTCTGCCCGTAGCCACCTAAGTGCCTCTACATGATAATAACTAGCATCCTCCGATAGTCCGAACCATCCTTCATGGCTCGAACTCTGATTCATGCTTGGTCTTGATGGGTGCCCTCCTCGACAATCCCCGCCATCGCGGAAGCACCAAAGTCCGAGTCCTGCCGCGCAGCTCATTTATCCGCTAAACAACCTTGACGATTCAGACTTTGTTCCCATCTTCCTCCACTATTGCAATTGCTTCTGGATCTCGTTGCATGTTGCCTTCCGGCAGTTCCTGTGGCTACGATAGGCTTCCGCGATGCAAGTTCTGTTGACGAGGACGGACCCTGACGTGGGACTTCAGAGGCTCGCTTGGAGGTCCTCGAAACGGGGATCCTCCCATTGCACGCACCTCTCTGCAAACCCCATCCGGTCTCAGATACTCGGGTTAGGCCCCGCCTTCTGCTGCCCGACGACGAGGCCAGTGGACCAGCCCCGCATCCAGTTGAGTGTCGAATCCAGCTGTTTGCCAGCACTCTTCCTCACTCTCTGCTCTGTGAGATCAGGGCTTTTCTTGCGCACGTTGAACAGAGCCCTCAACCCTAAACCCTAAACCCTAAACCCTTTGAGCTCTGGAGGATCCCAAGTGGCTTTTGCTTGGGCTTCTCCTTCTGCAGGAGGCTCAAGTCCTTGACGGCCTGCAGCGTCTGCATGTCAGGTCGGGTCGGAAAGCCCGCCACGGTAATAGTAGTAATGATACTAGTACGAGTAATAGTACTAAGAATAAGAAGACTGACAAGAGGAACAGGAGTAAGAAGAATAAGAAGAAGAACAGTATTAATGGTAATAAAAATAATAACAGCATTAGTAATAGCAATGCGACTGTTACTACGAATAGCAATAGTACGAATAGTAGGCAAAGCCGCGGCAAACTTTGCCTTGACTGCGGCCCGCTTGGCACTGATCTTGGGCTGCTCGCGCTGCATCTCCCGCCATATCCTGGGCAAGATAGGCCCCAACGGATATCCACAGTACCTACACAACAAGACTCGAAGCGGCCCCGGGTTCGGATTGTGCATTTCATCAGTTTGCGCAGTTACAACACTAAAACCTCAAAACCCTAAGCCCTAGCAGCCTATAGGAGGCATAATGATTAGAACAGGGCTTTGCAAAACCACAACACGGGAAAGGTAAGCGTGCTGCAACTTCTCTGGGGAAAGGTTTGAATCTTTGTCTTAAAGCTCCGGGCTTTTCTCCCCGACATGGATCGACCTGTAAGGAGGCACGAAACGACCAGGAGCCCTAAATCTTTAACAACAGTAGCAATGATGATGGCAGTAACAAGAATGAAACCACTACAACAATGACAAACCTAACAGCATTCATAAGCATCATCGAAACCTTCAAAATGAAAAATAAAAAAGAAACAACAACATCAACAACTACAACCACAATAACCGACAACAACATCGAAAGTTGAAACAACAATAAAGATCTTAGTACAAGTAGTAGTCATCATCAACATCATCATCGTCTTGACAAGACTAAGCGTAGTTGTCATAGGGAGTAGTAATAGGAGTAGGAGTAGGAGTAGAGTAGTCGTAGCGGTGGTACGGGAGCAGTAGCAGTAAAAGTATTTGTGGTCGTAGCAGTAGTGATAGTGGTAGTAGTAGCAGTAGTTGCAGTAGTAGTAGTAGTAGTAGTAGTAGTGGTAGTAGTAGTAGTAGTAGTAGTAGTAGTAGTAGTAGTAAAAATAATAATAACAGTACACATATTAATCCTACCTGCAACCTGGTACTAGGTTTGTCGCTCCAGCGCATGCGGACAACCGTCCCTTTGCCAAAGCCCTCGGAAAGATCTGAATATTCATTCATCTCCAGACTGGCGTCTCATCCACGTCCGCCATCGCAGGCAATGTAAGGTCGTGTGTTTTGATATCTTCACTGCAATGTGGCACACTTTACTATGACTTGCGTTCAACTGTTACATGGCATGTGTCTGAACTTGCGATCTTCAAAGGCGATAACCTGCCGGTGCTTGGAAAACCAACTGTTGTCTGAAACTTGCACGCATCGAAGAAGTTTGGAAATTTGAGCAGATAACTTTCGAGCAATGCTGGAACCACGCAAAGTGGCTGAAAATTTCAACATAAAAAAGCGAGCTTGACATACTGTTAACATCTAAACTCAAGCATCTAAAGATTTTGTCGACGATGATGCATGCACTTATGCAAAGGTTCTGCATAAGAACGACTCACCACATGCTATTACGCGGTGCCACAATGTTAGGATCCTCGTGTGTGTGTCCATTTAATTTGTGCACAAGGTCATCAGCTTAACGGTCCGTTTTTGAGGTGGCGGAATTGTTGGCGCGTCAGTCTTTTAGTGTGTGTGTGTGTGTGTGTGTGTGTGTGTGGGTGCGTGCGTGCGTGCGTGCGTGCGTGCGTGCGTGCGTGCGTGTGCCTTTATGTCTTTGGTCGCAAACAGTGCAAATTGCAAGGCCGGCCAGGTGTCCCAAAACCGATTGTTTCGAGGCACCATGTCTTTTTGTGAGTCCGCGCACCTGCGCCACGAACACGCGCCAATAAACCGAGTCCGAAACAAGCCCATTTGCATGAGTTCTTTGCAGAACCAACATTGCGTGCATGCAGTTGTTTTGTCACCCACATTCAAGGCCCCAGTGCTCGCTCCAGGAGCTGGCAAGGACCTTTTTGCAAGCTTCTGCAGTTGTAGCTGCAGTTTCTGCATCCAAGGTGCACGCGTGCACAGGTTGCACATCGATCCACTCTCCACCAAAACCGTTCAAAGCGTGAAGCAAAAGAGACCGTTGGACGCAAGTCGATTTTAAAGACCTGAGCAAGCTTTAAGCGGGGCATGCTCCATCATAGTTCGGCGAATGGGGGCTTGAGAAGGGGGTGCTTCTCGAAGGGGGCTTGAGAAGCCCCCTGCCGGGGGCGGAGAGGGGGGGGGGCTGAAGGTTGAAGGGTTGAAGGGGGCTTGAAGGGGGCTTGAAAAGGGGGGGCTTCTCAAAGGGGCTTCACGGGGCTTCTCAAGGGGGGCGGCTTCAAGGGGGGGCTTGAGAAGGGGGCTTGAAGCCCTTCTCAAGCCCCCTTGAAAAGGGGGGGCTTCTCAGGGGGGCTTAAAGGGGGCTTGAGAAGGGGGGGCTTGAGAAGGGGGCTTGAAGCCGCTTGGGGGGCTTGCAGGGGAGGACTTCAAGGGAGGCTTAAAGAGGGCCGCTCTTCAAGGAGGACAAAGCGAGGACGTTCGCAAATGGGGGGGGCTGCGCCCCCCCAACCCCCCCGCTCTTTGAAAAACATAATACGTTTTCGTTCTCGACATTCTGCCGCGAAGAAAAAAAAACGTCTTCTCCAGACACGAGAAAGGGAAAGCCACACGCAATCGCTTCAGGTGGCTTGAAGCGAAGAAAATAAATCAAATACAACGTAAAACGCCTTTTCCAACAGACAACAAGAATGAAAAAACGTCTTCTTAACACACAACAAGAAGAAAGCCACACGAAATCGCTTCATGGGGTCTAAAAGCGATGAAAATAAATGAAATGCAAACTAAAATGCCCTGCTTCTCCACACACAAGAAGGAATTCCACGCGCACTCGCTTCGGTGGGCTTTAAGCGAAGAAATACAAGGTAAAAAACCTTCTCCAACAGACAACAAGAATAAAAAAACGTTTTCGTTGCACACAACAAGGAGAAAGCCACACGAAATCGCTTCAGGGGGTTTAAAAGCGATGAAAATAAATTAAATACAAGCAACACAGCAACACCAATTGAATACAAAATAAAATGCCCTGCTTCTTTCACAAGAAGGAATTCCACGCGCAATTTGCTTCGGGGAGCTTTAAGGGAAGAAATACAAGGTAAAAAACCTTCTCCAACAGACAACAAGAATAACAAAACGTTGTCGTTGCACAACAAGAAAAAAAGCCACACGAAATCGCTTCAGGGGGTTTCAAAATGATGAAAATAAATTAAATACAAGCAAAAACGCTTTGCTTCGCCACACAAGAAGCAGAAGCCACACGCAACAGACAACAACACAACAAGCAAAAGCTACTCGAAAGCGCTTCAATGGGGCGTTCAAAGCGATGAAACAAATACAAGTAAGTGAACACCTCAACACAAGAATAACGAGAAAGCCACGAATTCGCTTCTGGTTTAAAAAGCGATCTTCTAGGACCTTGAAACTTCTTTCAAGAAGTTTGAGACCTTCCTTCGGAGACGCTCTCCACTCTGTGATAGCTACAAGCCTTGGTTCGAGACATAGGGCAGAATTCAGTACTTTGGAGCACTGTCGATTCGCGGGCCTACGGCCCGCAGCTCGAACGATCTTAGGGGCTCTAAAGTGTTTGCAAAACGGGATTTAGAAGGGCTTTAGGGGGCGCGATACTTGCGAGCAGCTCGCGAGTGGCTTGCCGGCAGCTCACAAGCTACTCACCAGAAGCTCGCGAGTGGCTTGCCGGCAGCTCACAAGCTACTCACCAGCAGCTCGCGAGTGGCTTGCCGGCAGCTCACAAGCTACTCACCAGCAGCTCACGAGCTACCCAGCTCACGAGCTACTCACTAGCAGCTTCCGAGCTGCTCACCAGCAGCTCACGAGCTACTCACCAGCAGCTTCCGAGCTACTCACCAGCAGCTTCCGAGCTACTCACCAGCAGCTCACGAGCTACTCACCAGCAGCTACTCACCAGCAGCTTCCGAACGACTCACCAGCAGCTTCCGAGCTGCTCACCAGCAGCTTCCGAGCTGCCAGCTTCCGAGCACTCACCAGCAGCTCCAACAGACTCGCGCGCGTTAGCGCGCGTCAGCTCCAGAGCACGACGAAGCACTCTTAAACAGCCTCCAAGTGCTTCCGAAGCAGCGCGCGCCCAGTTTGTAAGCACTTTAGAGCCCATAAGATTACGGACCCTGCGGCCTCGAGCCCTCAAAATCGACAGGCCCTCAAAGTATCGAATTCTGCCTTGTGTCTCGAACTTGGGCCTGTAGCCATCGTGGAGAGCTGGAACACCCTCCCCAGAGAGAGTGATATCTTTTTCTTCGTTTTTTGACTTTCAAAAGCGTTCTCGTGTGGCTTTCTCTTTTTTATTGTTTGGAGAGAACGTCAGGTTTTGAACACAGGTTATTGAAAATGGATTTTCTCTGTCTGGGGAGGGTGTTCCAGCTCTCCACTCTGTGATAGCTACAGGCCGTGTTTCGAGACATAGGGTAGAATTCGGTACTTTCGAGCACTGTCGATTCGCGGGCCTACGGCCCGCAGCTCGAGCGATCTTAGGGGCTCTAAAGTGTTTGCACAACGGGATTTAGAAGGGCTTTAGGGGGCGCGCTACTTGCGAGCAGGCGAGCAGCTGACTAGCGGCTTGCGAGCAGCTCACGAGGTACTTGCTGGCAGCTCACGAGCTACTTGCTGGCAGCTTACGAGTTACTTACCGGCAGCTCGCGAACTACTTATCGGCAGCTCACAAGCTACTTGCCGGCAGCTCACGAGCTACTCACCAGCAGCTCACGAGCTACTTGCCGACAGCTCACGAGCTAGTAGCCAGCAGCCTACCAGCAGCTCACGAGCTACTCACCAGCAGCTCACGAGCTACTTGTCGGCAGCTCACGAGCTACTTGTCGGCAGCTCACGAGCTAGTAGCCAGCAGCCTACCAGCAGCTCACGAGCTACTTGTCGGCAGCTCACGAGTTACTTCCCGGCTCACGATCCCGGCTCACGAGCTACTTGTCGGCAGCTCACGAGCTACTTGTCGGCAGCAGCTCACCTACTTGCCGGCAGCTCACGAGCTGCTCACCAGCAGCTTCGAGCCACTCACAAGCAGCTCCGAAGCTCCAACAGACTCGCGCGCGTAAGCGCGCGTCGCTCCCAAACAGCTCCGGAGCGCGACGTCCTCCGCGACACAGCTTGCAAGCCCTCCGCGCACCCTCCAGCCGCTTCCAAAGCCGCGCACGCCCGTTTGCAAGCACTTTAGAGCCCCTCAGATTACGAGCCCTACGGCTTCTGGCCCTGCAAATTGACAGTACTACAAGTCCCGAATTCTAGCCTGCGCGCTATCCGGTAAGACAGTTCGTGCAAACACGGTTGCCCGTTGGACTTGCGACTCCCCGGCGCTTGACTTGTGGTTCCGCCACGGCTCCTTTGCGGGCGCCTTCGTCCGTGCAGGCACCCCTTGGGTCTGTTTTTGGCGTGAGCAGGCCTCGTCG